ACGACGAACTAGTAAAAGTAACGTACGTAACTAACGTACTATATAGTGTCGACGCCGTCCGTTAGGTACGACTATATTATTGTCGCCTCATCTCTCTCTCTCTCTCTAATACATAATTCCCTCCTCTCTCTCTCTCTCTCTCTCTCTCTCTCTCTAGAATCATTGATTCTCTCTCTAGAATATTAGTTAAAGTCGGAAGTTAGGACAAAAATGGAAATATGTATGCAGATGCTCACCTCATTTCTCTCTCACTCTCTCATTGGATAAATGCCCAATTTTAGGACATATAAATGTGAGAGAAATTTTTTTATAGAAGGTTGACACCTTATACTGTATAAGTATGGTGCACCTAAAAAAATCACTAGTGAAGGTTATTCATAAAAAAACCCTCAAATCGATCACTTCGACCTTGAGTTTTATGGACATTAGGATTTCTAGTCTTAAAAATAGTCTATTTTCTATCAAATTATTGGGATCATTCATTCTCAAAATTTTTAAGTGTATAGATTTGTACTTTAAAAAATTTTAAATGTTTATAGATTTGTACTTTAAATTACAAATAATTTAAAGCAATCGTAGATTTTTATATCATTGTGAAATTACATTTTCGACATAGTTTTGAGTCACACCTCACTTCAATAATAGAATGTTGACACCTTGTAAATGTAAGGGGTCCTCTCCCTCTCTAGAAACATACAAAACATATGATGGCGTGGTCCTCCTCTCTCCCTCCTTTGAACATAATGGTCCTCTCTCTCCATCCATGTATGTATGTGTGAGCCTGGTCTCTCCCTCATTCCCCTATTTTATGCTCTCTCTGCATGTATGTGTGGTGATCCTGATCTCTTTTTCTTTTAATTATTTATGCTCTCTCTCCATGTATGTATGTGTGAGTCTGCCCTCTTATATAGAGGCACCTCCCCCCTAACCACCAAATACAACCACTCTTTTCCTTACCACCTTATATTTCTTTCTAACTCTCTGGATCTATTACTGTCTTATCTTCTCATGGGAGTGAACATGTATTAGAGGATCCAAATTATCTTGTTAAATGAGCAAGGGTCACACAGCACTCAAGAGAGAGAGAGATAGGTTGTCACTGTCATGTAAAAGATGAAGTTAGAAGCATAAACGCACCAATACATTATCCTTTGGGCTACCCCTGTAAAAATATTTCATTGGGGGTGCGCATCGGCTTCGTTTGGTTTCAGGGGTGGCAACAAGGTGAGTTGGGTCCAGGTCTGACCGGACCCAGACTAAGACACAAACACTGTTTGGGTTCAAGTTTTGGTACCAATTTTTCGATCCATACCCAAACCCAGATTGGGTCTACCCCTCAGGTCCTGGGTCAGGTCCAAGTCCATTTCCACCCCTGATTGGGCTCATCATGCCCAATGGGTACATTTATCTCTCACGTACAATGTGTGAGAGGGAGAGAGAGGGAGGGACAGTTTTTTCCAAGAGTGTGACAGAGAGACTTGCAAAATGAACCATGCATAACACCCCCAATTCACATGACAATGTCCCATTTCATGTATCCAATCATCTGATGAATGAATAGAAACTATAAAAAGAAAAAGAATAAAAAGAAACCAAAAAGCCCAAGTCTTAAAACACATTACAATGACCATTTTCTTGGATTTCAACTACAATGAATTTTCACAACCAACATCAGACCATAAACCAGCACCACCCAATCTTGGAGCAAACCACTGGGCCAATTCAAGAGCATCATGAACCCTAAGCCTGGTCCCTTGCTGCCCCACCACCACAGCTGCAACCCTAGCCGCTAGACTACCCACACACTTCCAATCGGGTGCACCTGTGAGTATACCGTATAAAATACCTGCAGCATATAATGTGTGTTCAGTAAGTACACCGAATAAAACTTCAAGAAATATACATATAATATATATATATATATATATATCACCATCATTACCATCATCATTCAAGCCTTATCTCAACCATTTGGGATCGACTACGTGAATCATGTTCTGCCATTCTGCTCTATCACGAGTCATACTCTCAGTCAGACAATAAGTCATCATATCTCTTCCCATTGCTTCCACCCATATATACGCACATATATGGGAAAAAAGTTTATATAAAATTAGAAGTAAGATTCCAGTAATCTATATCATCCATTTAAGTTGGACAGTGCAGATTTGATTGTCCTAAAATACGTGTCAAATCTACACCGTCCAACTAAAATAGATAGCGCCGCAACCATACTTTTACAAGTAAGCTTGCCACTTTATATAGTCTGCAATATACAAACTCATATAAAAAGAAAATATATATAATGAGACCATTTATTTTGGTACGAGAGATCACAATTATTATTAACCGTTATATATGAAATCGAGTTGTTCGAATGTGTCATTGACTATGCACGAAGTCCTAATCAAAATTTCTTGAATGTCATGATGCACTTCAATTTGTCAAATTTCACATCCTATTGCTAAGAATGATTGTGACCTTCATGTACCCAAAGTGAATGGCCTTGCACTATAGAATCCCTATATATACCAAAAATTAATGGTTTTATAGTATATAATGCCT